AAGCAGAACGGCCGAAGAACGGAAAGTCAGGGAAGGGTTGAGGAAGTCCAATGAATGAGATTGAACCAAAGTAAAGGAGGTTGAAGGTAGGTGCATGCATGCCATGCAATCTCACCTGCAGCAGGTGCTCTAGCAAGCTGAGTTCAAGGAAGGGCTGCTTTTCCTTCTTCTCCTCTGCTGCCTCCGATGCCCCTCCTCTTCACGACAACCCTTTCCTTCCCAGTCCCTCATGCTGCTCTCACCTGCAGCAGGGGCTCCAGCACGGGGAGGTCAAGGAAGGACTGCTTCTCCTTCTCCTCCTCGGCAGCCTCCGATGCTGCTCCTCTCGATGACAGACTATCCATTGCCCCGTCCCTCATGCTTATCGCCCGTAACCGATCGTGCTCCTCCTCCTGCCATGGAATGAGAAGCCAGGACAGATGGTGTGAAATGCACGAATCAGGTAAATCTTGTGACAGAATTCCTTTCACTGCCCCAACACTCATGCTTAGTCCTGCTCCTCCTCCTGGCAACAGGATATGAAATTATTCAGTGAAACGAAGCTGCTAAAACAAGAGCTTACCCATAGAAAGTACATAAGAAACAATCGGTTTCCTTCACAGACCATCAGGCAATAATAAGCACACGCAGCACAACGACCAAAGCAGGAGAGCTGGTAACGAGTACAAGAAGATCCATGCGAGAAAAAAGAAAAGAAAAGAAAACGAAATGTGTACCAGAAGAGAAAATGCATACCAGCGCAGCTGCTTCCTCTGTTTCCCAGAACTCTGCAATCGCCACCTGCAGCAGTAAGCGCTTACCTCGAACCCAAGAGGGCAGGAGAGCCAATGGTGAGCACAAAGAGCAGCACCAGGGGCGGAGGGAACGCACCAGAGCAGCAGCCTCTTCTGTCTTCCAGAACTCGGCAATCGCCTCCTGCAGCAGGCGCATGGCATGGCCCCGGTTCCAGAACGACGCAAACTTGTACTTCACTCGCCCTGTGGGGGCGAGGGGGGAGGAGGATGCGATGGGGGATGGGTAGGAGCATGAGGAGCCGAGGGACAGCAGGCGCATGGCATGGCCTCGAATCCAAAACGACGCAAACTTGTACTGCAAGGGGGATGGGATGGGAGGAGCAAGCACTAAGAAAGGAAGGAGATAATGGGCACATGGCATGGCCTCTGTTCCAGAACGATGCAAACTTGTACTTCACTCGGCCTGATGGAAGGAGGGTGTGGGGCAGAAGGGGGGGGGCTGCAGTTAGCAAGGATATAGCATGGCATCAACAAGGCATGGCCTCGGTTCCAAAAGGATGCAAACTTGTACTTCACTCGCCCTGTGTCCCCCTGTGCCCAGATGCAGCACCACCATCATGGACTCGGTTGATCAGTGCATTAGTGCATGTGCCTCGTTGAGATGAGAGCTAATGTACATGCAAGGGGTTACAGTACGAGCTCATGTGCCTTGACAAGCGCGCTCACCATCATCAGGACTGGGTAGTGGTGGCACCACCACCTCAAGCGCGCTCATCACCTTGTGTCCCCCCCCCCCCCACCGGTGCCCAGATGCAGCACCACCAGCATGGCTGAGTTAATCAGCGCATGCGTGTACGTGACAGTGAATGTTTTGTGACAATTCTTTAAAAAAATATGATGGGTTAACATCAGGGCTAATGTGCCTCTCCACACACGCTTACCATCAGGACTCGGCAATGGCGGCACCCCATGCCCCCCTGTGCCCAGATGCAAAACCACTGTCATGGCTGGGTTGATCAGTGCATGCGTGCTGCGCCGAACCTGGGGTGGTTAGAGCGTGGGCGTGGGCATGGAAACAGGGAGGAAAGGTAAAGGAATGGAATGGAGGCGGACAAAGCGGACAGCTCTTGAGAAAAGGCATCGGAATGGAAGCACAGGTGCGAGCTACACTGTTCTCAAAGCAAAGCAAACCGCTCCTTACGCCTGCCCAGCTAACCTCCTAGACAGAGAAACTCAACGCTAAATGTGGGTGTGGATGTCATCGCGGATCTGATCCCTTTCACTGGTTTGAAAGGAAAACTTAATACCGTAACCTAGGACCACCACTTCCATGGAGAGCGTGTCGGCAAAACAACTACAAGTGATTTCAGTGTGCCTTGCAGAATCACTCGTTCTACTTGTTCCGCCGACACGCTCGCCATGGAAGTGGTTGTCCTAGGTTACGGTATCATGTTTTCTCTTCCAAACCACGGAAGGGGAGCAGATCCGTAATGCCATCCACACCCACTTTCTTTTCGGAAAATGTCACAGACAGAGAGACAGCTCCTTGAAAATGACATTGTTGCTAACGGCACCACCTGTCCATTTCACTGCCTCAATGTCTTGATAGAAAATGCACAACGACAGCTCCTTGGGAACCCGCGGACGTAGAAGCATAGTTTTGAATGAAATGTCGGTAAACACCTCTTTCTTCATTACCTCCCCAACCTCACCTCCTCAATGTCTTGGTATGGAATGCACACGGAGAGCTTCTTGGAAAAGACGTTACAGTGGATGCATTGGTGCAAGATATGCCATTCTTGATCCAATTCCGTAACAAAAAATTTGCTTCTAGCAGCTCTCGACCTGCCCTACCACCTCAATGTCTTGATATGGAATGCACACACGTGGCTCAAAAAACGCATGTCAATCTCCCTCACCTCCTCAATGTCTTGGTAAGGAATGCACACAGAGAGCTCCTTGGAAAAGACGTTGGAATGGAAGCAGAGGTGCGCCCCTGAGAGGAACATGCGGCCGTGATACAGAAAGGAGCGCTCCAATGCACACGAGAAGGAGTGCCGGATGACCTGGCATGCAGTGCAGGACATAAACGGAATGCACAAGGAGAGATTCTTTGGGAGGACGTCGGAGTGAAAGCACAGGTGCGCCCCCGAGAGGAACATGCGGCCACTGTAGAGGGACGAGCGCTTCAACACACATGAGAAGGAATGCCTGATGACCTGCCAAGCATGGCCCATGGGGAAATAAGCACAGCTCAGGGAGAACACTGATTAATGTGGCAAGAGGAACATGCGACCACTGCAGAGGGACGAGCGCTTCAACAAACATGAAAAGGAATGCCGGATGACCTGCCAAGCATGGCCCATGGGGAGACATTGATAGATTGGATGGGGCTAACAAAACACGCGGCCGTGATAGAATAGGATCAATCAACCACCAGTCCAGCGAACATGAGGAGTGCCGGATGGCCTGCTGTGTACAGGGACGAATGACCGATGGGGCAGGAAGTGACATGCGCGCGGTTCTTTCCCCTCACACTCGCTTCATTGGGAGGCAGGCCAAGGATTGTCGGCAAAGGTCACAGCTTTTAACTGCACTTCAGAGGCGCCTTGTGAAACAAACGACTTCTGAGGCGCCTCATCATGAAACAGCCTCTGAAGCCCCTCGGAAAACGCACCTCATCTGGAGGCAGGCCGAAAATGGTCTGCAGTGGCCCTGGCTTAAGCCGCACTTCCGTTCCCCTCCCCGCCTCCTGCTCTTGCTGCTGCTGCTCAGGCCGCTCCCCTTCAAAAGCCTCCCCCTCTTGCTTGTCGCCCGCACCAGCGCCTGTGGGGTGCTGAGAGAGGCGGCGCAGGCGAGACGAACTTATGGCAGCTCCCTTTGCTGCGCTGCTGCATGGGGAGATGCGAACGGGGCGAAGGTGGGAAACAAAAGTGAGTGTGTTCCAACTGCCTCTTCCCTCTCCCCTCCCTCTTGCTTCTCGACCCGCACCGGTGCCTGTGGGGTGCTGAGAGAGGCGGCGCAGGCGAGACGAACTTATGGCGGATCCCTTTGCTGCCATGCTGCACATAGTTGGTGGGAAATATGGGGGGAGAGAGTGGGATAGGGGAGAAGATATCAGGAGAGGCGGCGCAGGCGAGACAAACTTATGGCAGCTCCCTTTGCTGCCGTGCTGCACATGGTTGGTGGGAAGGATGGGGAAAGGGGAAAAGGGTGGTGTGGTGCGGGGGGGTGGTGTGGGGGCGGAACACAAAATTGGTATCTGGGGCTGCTTAGAAGCAACTAGGAACTAGGCAGCAACGAGGAACACAGCAACTAGGAACGCAGGCAGGAGAGAGAGACACAGTCGGATGCATGAAGTGAAGCGTACGTAAATTGACAAGCAGGGGCGAATGGCAATCAGGATCAGGAGGAGAATTTACCTTCAAAATTTCTCAGGGGCGCAGAGGCATAGTACACAGACACACACCACCAGTTTTGAGGCGCCTCAAAACCAGAGGCATAGTACGCAGACACACACCAAAAAGAGAAGAAAGGAGCAGATGAACTAACTGGGGCAGTACAACCAGAACGGGCGAAATAATGAACGTACCTGTCAGCTTTATTTCTTGGTACTGCTGTCACCTGCAGCTGCAAGCATACCTGCAAGAAGAAAAGAAGGGAGAGAAAAGGAAAGGGGAAGAGGTGAAGACAAACAAACTTGTGAGACAGCTGTGTGTTTTTCTGCATGGCAAACCAGTTAAGACGCCTGGACTTTTGAGGCGCCTCAAAAGCCGCCTCAAAACTATTGAGGCGCCTCAAAACTATTGAGCCGCCTCAAAACTATTGAGCCGCCTCAAAACTATTGAGGCGCCTCAAAGCTATTGAGGTGCCTCGAAAGTTAAGACGCCTGGAAAAAACGACTACTATCCAGCCACTATCCGAACTATCCAAGGTTTTCGCTCACCTGCCCCAGCCAGTCCCTCGTCGAGGGGGTACCAAGCGGTGAAGAGCAAAGCCTCTCCTTCCACCAGCAAGAAATCTGTGTGTGTTACGAATCACCTGCCCCAGGCCTCACCTGCCCCAGGCCTCACCTGCCCCAGGCCTCACCTGCCCCAGGCCTCACCTGCCCCAGGCCTCACCTGCCCCAGGCCCTTGTCAAGGGGGTACCAAGCAGTGAAAGGCAGAGCCTCTCCCTCCACCAGCAGGGACGCCGTGTGCATTGGGAATCATCATACAAGCACAAGCAAAGAAGAATCATTCAACACTCACCTGCCCCAGGCCTCACCTGCCCCAGGCCTCACCTGCCCCAGGCCTCACCTGCCCCAGGCCCTTGTCAAGGGGGTACCAAGCAGTAAAGGGCAGGGCCTCTCCCTCCACCAATAGGGAAGCTGCACCAAGCTCTGCGTTCTTGGATATGATGTCCCAATCGTACGTGCGCACTGATACCTGCGTGGGCGAGTCCATACACAGAGTCACACGCATATAGTCACACACGCATATAATCAGACACACACAAGGAAGAGTTTTTTAGGCGACTCAAAAAAGCCGTTCCTTCCACCAGCACAGACGCGGCACCGAGCTCTGTGTTCTTAGATATGATGTCCACAGAGCTCGGTGCTTGGCACCGAACACAGTCACACGCATACAGTCACACACGCATATAATCAGACACACATACTGCATGTGTGTACTGACACCTGCGTGGGCCCACACACACACACACGCGCCCACACATACACCACAGCACAAACACATAAACTGCCATTAACAAGGGAAGCCGCTGCAGCGAGCTCTGTGTTCTCGTATATGATGTCCCAATCGTACGTGCGCACTGATACCTGCTTGGGCCGACACACACACGCGCCCACACATACACCACAGCACAAACACATAAACTGCCATCAATAAGTGAGGCGGCTGCATCAAGCTCTGTGTTCTTGGATATGATGTCCCAATCGTACGTGCGCACTGATACCTGCTTGGGCCGACACACACACGCGCCCACACATACACCACAGCACAAACACATAAACTGCCATCAATAAGTGAGGCGGCTGCATCAAGCTCTGTGTTCTTGGATCTGATGTCCCAATCGCACGTGCGCACTTATACCTGCTTGGGCCGACACACACACGCGCCCTCACATACACCACAGCACAAACACATAAACTGCCATCAATAAGTGAAGTGGCTGCACCAAGCTCTGTGCTCTTGGATATGATGTCCCAATCGTACGTGCGCACTTATACCTGCGTGGGCCGACACACACACGCGCCCACACATACACCACAGCACAAACACAAAAACTGCCATCAATAAGTGAAGCGGCTGCACCAAGCTCTGTGCTCTTGGATATGATGTCCCAATCGTACGTGCGCACTTATACCTGCGTGGGCAATGTCATATCACACATTAACAGGGGGAAACGTGCAGCAGCGCAACGCAGAGGAGCCTATTGCAACCGGTCACCAGAGGAATGGGGTGGAGAGGCGAAGACAGTGCAGAGGAAAGGACTCACCAGGGCGGGCAGGCAAGGAGCGAAGAAGCGAAACTCCTCTGCCCACATGGGGTTGCGGGAACTGGGGATGACGGAACTGGTGCGGGGCGGAGAGGGGGCGGGGGAGAGAGGGATAGGAAGAGGTGGAAAAGGGATGGCGGAGTGTGTGGGTCTGTGCAGCACAGAAGCGAAAATCCGCTGCCTTTAATTGACGGGATTGTGGAAACTGGGGATGACAGACTGGGGTGTCGTTTTGAGGCGCCTCAAAACGAAAATCCTCTGCCTTTATTTGATGGGATTGTGGAAACTGGGGACGACAGACTGAGGTGTGGCAGCGCATATTGAACTGCCAAACTGGGGGTGTGGCAGCGCATATTGAACTGCCAAACTGGGGGTGTGGCAGCGCATATTGAACTGCCAAACTGGGGGTGTGGCAGCGCATATTGAACTGCCAAACTGGGGGTGTGGCAGCGCATATTGAACTGCCAAACTGGGGGTGTGGCAGCGCATATTGAACTGCCAAACTGGGGGTGTGGCAGCGCATATTGAACTGCCAAACTGGGGGTGTGGCAGCGCATATTGAACTGCCAAACTGGGGGTGTGGCAGCGCATATTGAACTGCCAAACTGGGGGTGTGGCAGCGCATATTGAACTGCCAAACTGGGGGTGTGGCAGCGCATATTGAACTGCCAAACTGGGGGTGTGGCAGCGCATATTGAACTGCCAAACTGGGGGTGTGGCAGCGCATATTGAACTGCCAAACTGGGGGTGTGGCAGCGCATATTGAACTGCCAAACTGGGGGTGTGGCAGCGCATATTGAACTGCCAAACTGGGGGTGTGGCAGCGCATATTGAACTGCCAAACTGGGGGTGTGGCAGCGCATATTGAACTGCCAAACTGGGGGTGTGGCAGCGCATATTGAACTGCCAAACTGGGGGTGTGGCAGCGCATATTGAACTGCCAAACTGGGGGTGTGGCAGCGCATATTGAACTGCCAAACTGGGGGTGTGGCAGCGCATATTGAACTGCCAAACTGGGGGTGTGGCAGCGCATATTGAACTGCCAAACTGGGGGTGTGGCAGCGCATATTGAGCTGCCAAACTGGGGGTGTGGCAGCGCATATTGAACTGCCAAACTGGGGGTGTGGCAGCGCATATTGAACTGCCAAACTGGGGGTGTGGCAGCACATATTGAACTGCCAAACTGGGGGTGTGGCAGCGCATATTGAACTGCCAAACTGGGGGTGTGGCAGCGCATATTGAACTGCCAAACTGGGGGTGTGGCAGCGCATATTGAACTGCCAAACTGGGGGTGTGGCAGCGCATATTGAACTGCCAAACTGGGGGTGTGGCAGCGCATATTGAACTGCCAAACTGGGGGTGTGGCAGCGCATATTGAACTGCCAAACTGGGGGTGTGGCAGCGCGGGCATCATATTGAAGGGAGGAGGGGTGGCGCGGGATTAGACGGGATGAGATACACAAGCCGGCATCATATTGAAGGGAGGAGATACACAAGCCGGCATCATATTGAAGGGATGAGATACACAAGCCGGCATCATATTGAAGGGATGAGATACACAAGCCGGCATCATATTGAAGGGATGAGATACACAAGCCGGCATCATATTGAAGGGATGAGATACACAAGCCGGCATCATATTGAAGGGAGGAGATACACAAGCCGGCATCATATTGAAGGGATGAGATACACAAGCCGGCATCATATTGAAGGGAGGAGATACACAAGCCGGCATCATATTGAAGGGAGGAGATACACAAGCCGGCATCATATTGAAGGGAGGAGATACACAAGCCGGCATCATATTGAAGGGATGAGATACACAAGCCGGCATCATATTGAAGGGAGGAGATACACAAGCCGGCATCATATTGAAGGGATGAGATACACAAGCCGGCATCATATTGAAGGGATGAGATACACAAGCCGGCATCATATTGAAGGGATGAGATACACAAGCCGGCATCATATTGAAGGGAGGAGATACACAAGCCGGCATCATATTGAAGGGAGGAGATACACAAGCCGGCATCATATTGAAGGGAGGAGATACACAAGCCGGCATCATATTGAAGGGATGAGATACACAAGCCGGCATCATATTGAAGGGAGGAGATACACAAGCCGGCATCATATTGAAGGGAGGAGATACACAAGCCGGCATCATATTGAAGGGAGGAGATACACAAGCCGGCATCATATTGAAGGGAGGAGATACACAAGCCGGCATCATATTGAAGGGAGGAGATACACAAGCCGGCATCATATTGAAGGGATGAGATACACAAGCCGGCATCATATTGAAGGGAGGAGATACACAAGCCGGCATCATATTGAAGGGAGGAGATACACAAGCCGGCATCATATTGAAGGGATGAGATACACAAGCCGGCATCATATTGAAGGGATGAGATACACAAGCCGGCATCATATTGAAGGGAGGAGATACACAAGCCGGCATCATATTGAAGGGAGGAGATACACAAGCCGGCATCATATTGAAGGGAGGAGATACACAAGCCGGCATCATATTGAAGGGAGGAGATACACAAGCCGGCATCATATTGAAGGGAGGAGATACACAAGCCGGCATCATATTGAAGGGATGAGATACACAAGCCGGCATCATATTGAAGGGATGAGATACACAAGCCGGCATCATATTGAAGGGATGAGATACACAAGCCGGCATCATATTGAAGGGAGGAGATACACAAGCCGGCATCATATTGAAGGGATGAGATACACAAGCCGGCATCATATTGAAGGGATGAGATACACAAGCCGGCATCATATTGAAGGGATGAGATACACAAGCCGGCATCATATTGAAGGGATGAGATACACAAGCCGGCATCATATTGAAGGGATGAGATACACAAGCCGGCATCATATTGAAGGGATGAGATACACAAGCCGGCATCATATTGAAGGGATGAGATACACAAGCCGGCATCATATTGAAGGGATGAGATACACAAGCCGGCATCATATTGAAGGGATGAGATACACAAGCCGGCATCATATTGAAGGGATGAGATACACAAGCCGGCATCATATTGAAGGGATGAGATACACGAGCCGGCATCATATTGAAGGGATGAGATACACAAGCCGGCATCATATTGAAGGGATGAGATACACAAGCCGGCATCATATTGAAGGGATGAGATACACAAGCCGGCATCATATTGAAGGGATGAGATACACAAGCCGGCATCATATTGAAGGGATGAGATACACAAGCCGGCATCATATTGAAGGGATGAGATACACAAGCCGGCATCATATTGAAGGGATGAGATACACAAGCCGGCATCATATTGAAGGGAGGAAGGGTGGCGCGGGTCCGCGGGATTAGAGGGGAGGAGATACACAAGCCGGCAAGAAGCAGAGGGGTATTTTTGAGAATTCTCAAAAACCAGTGCGGGCCTCATACTGAAGGGAGGAGGGGTGGCGCGGGATTAGACGGAAGGAGATACACAAGCTGGCAAGAAGCAGAGCCGCAGTGCCGCTGATGTTTGCTTGCAGCCGACAGACAGGTCGTGTCGTCATTCGCCATCAAGAGAAACACACACAAACACAAAGATATGCACGGACACCAACACGTGCGAATCTCGCTCACACGCCCGTGCATGCAGCACACACACGTGAATCTCCTCTCGATACCGCACGACACAATGGCATATGGATCCGCCGTGCCACACACACGGATATCATATCACCCACACGCCCGTGCATGCAGCACCACACACCTGAATCTCCGCTCTGTGCCACAAGAAACGATGGCGTAGGGATCCGCCGTGCCGCTGATGTTTGCAGCTGGCAGGTTCTTGGCCGCTAGCAGGTCAACCTTTGAGGGGGAGGTGGAGGGTGGAGGAGAGGGGAAAGGAATGGGAGATGGGAAATGAAGGGATCTGGGATAGACTGTGCCATTGATGTTTGCAGCTGGCAGGTTCTTGGCCGCTAACAGGTCAACCTGGGATAGGGGGGGGTGGAGAGGGAGGGGGAAGGGAAAGAAGTGGGGGATTGGGAGATGAAGAATGTGAGATTTGCAATGCTGCTGAGGTTTTTAAAACGGCAGGTTTTTAGCTGCCAGCAGACCGACCTTGGGAAGGGAAAGGGGGAGGGGTTGAGAGGGATCACTTTCATTCCAAAGCAAACTTCGTTCTCAATTGAATGATAACTCACTTTCGCTTCAGAACTCACTTTCACTTCGTAGATCATGGGCTGAGGCGCCACAGGAGACACAGCCCTTTCTGCAGCTGCTTCCGCCTTCACACCTACTCCTCCTCCGATCCCCCCTCCCCCTGCTTCTCCCCCTGCTCCTCCCCCAGCGCCTCCCCCTGCTCTTCCCCCAGCGCCTCCCCCTGTTCTTGCAGCAGAAAACGCAGTGCCACCAGCCGTTGATCCAGCTGAAATCGCTGCCGTGTCCGATGCTGACCGTTGGATCCCCTCCGGCCGCCTCCCCTTCTCTGCTCCCCTGTCAGGAGTTCCACCACTGGTCGAATCTGGGCCGTTAATTACATCACCAGCAGCAGCAGAATGAGTAGTAACAGAAACAGCTTTACTCAGCGGGGACAGGTAACCCAGGGACCCTCCTGTCCGCATATGCTCCCCCAAGGCGCCCCTTTCCCCCTCCCCATCCGCGCCTGCTGTGGCGGAAGCGGGGGCTGTGGAGACTGCTGCGCTAAGGGGGACTGGCGCAGGGGGGAGGGTATCCGCGCAAGACAGGGACTGGCTGGGGATTATGGCCTGGGGGACCGCCGCGGGGGGCGGGGGGAGGGTGGGTTGGGGAGATGAGGGTGGGCCGGGGAGTTAGGAGGCAAAGGGGTTTTGGATTTAATTGGTGTGAAGTGAAGTCAACATCAAAGACAGGTCACGGAACTCAAAATCACACAGCAAAAGAACTAATTAAGTATCGGGGTGAAGACAGATTATGGGCCAAAATTACAAACCAAATAAAAACTCTAAAAAGGAAAAGAAGAAAGAAAGACAGAAAAGGTGAGCTCTATTTGGCAGAAAAGGTGGGGAGGAACGAAACGGTAGCCTGGGGGAGAAGAGGAGAGCAGGGCATTAAAAAAAAAAAAACAACAACAACAACAACAACAACAACAACAACAACAACAACAACAACAACAACAACAACAAAAACAACAACAACAACAACAACAACAACAACAACAACAACAACAACAACAACAACAACAACAACAACAACAACGTAGTACCCCTTATTGGCAAACTCACCACAGGTATAAGCGTTTCATCCTGGATGTTCCCACCCGCTGCAGCAGCAACAGCACCAGCAGCAGCCCTAGTCGAGGCAGCTAAAGGGCCACTCGCACCTCTCCGATCACCTCCTCCCCTCTTCCCCCCTCCTTCCATCCCTCCCTTTCCTCCTACAAGCCCCGGCCCATCCACCCCCCCTTTCCCTCCTCCCACGGTTCCCCCCACCCCCGAGGCGACGGCTAGCTGCATTATATCCTGCCTCGGCCGCGTTCTAGACCCAATCCCTTTCTTAACTACCTCCTTAGAACTCAGCCCTAGCAGCGGCTGCGCGGTCACCGGAATCGCGGCCATTCTCTTCGAATCCACAGTTGCCAGCTGGCGCACCGGGATTGCGAGCGCGGCGGTGAGCGGATCTGGCGCCTCGAGTAACGCGCGAGCTTGCTGCTCCCTGCTACGTCGGCTCGCCTCCTCCCAGTTTCCCTCCTCCTCTTCCTCCGCGCCATTCACGCCGCTTTTCCCGGCAGACGCGGCCGAAGCGTCGTCTGGGGAGGGATTCTCCCTGCTGCCTTCGGGCTGGGTGAGATATAGGAGAAGGGCTACAAACGAGGCGGCTATTAATGCGGTGAATGCTTCGAACCAGGACGGGAAGAGGTGCGGCCAGATCGCTTCTAAAAAATCCTCCATGAGCGGCGATGAAGCGATGAAGTTGAAATCGACGGTGAAGCCGCGTTCGCATGCTATAAACCGGTCCTTCTGAAAATAAGAAAAATGAAAATGAAAGAGGTTATACGCCGTGCTCCTACGACTAGGTTAACCAAATACCGCGGGTTTTAGACAACTCTCACAAGAGCCATTGCAAACCCACTTTTCCGAAACGACGACGAAGGCCCGTAGGTAACTTGCTTGAGCTAGGTCACGTATGGATGGGAACCAGAAAGGCCGTCAAAATTACTCCCAAAAAAACCATTTCCTGTTTTATTCCTATGGGGTGTTCTGCGTCTGCATGCATGCTGCTCCAGGGGTGCGGCTCTGAC